ATATATATAGATATATATATATATTTTACACCCCATGCTGAATGTATTTAAATTGTATCACAAATATATATTAGAAACAATTTTAATATTGTATTATATTACTTTTTAATATAATATCTGATCTCAAAGAATTAGCAGAAAAATGAGTACAGAGGCCAGGGATGGGAGGGAAGAAAGAGGATAGGTGGACAACTGGCTAATGGGTACAACATCAGAGCCAGATAGAAGTAAGAGTTGGCATTCCGTCACACTGAAGTTGGTTGTCATTAAAAATACTGCATTATATTTTGCAGACTGTCCACAAGAGAGGACTATGATATTCCCATCACAAGTAAATTATAAATGTTTGTGATGATGAATGACTCAAGTATGTTGAGTTGATCAATGTGTAATGTATTAATATGTTCTACTACATTCGGCAAATATCTACAATTATTACCTGTTAACTGAAACAATCAAAATATAGGAATTTATTAATTGAATTTACTACAGATAATTTTTATATAAATAACATTAAATTTTTGTTAAATATACATTTTCAGGGTAACTGTGATATACACTCTGAAATTTTCATGGTAACTGTGATATACACTTTGAAAATTTCAGGGTAACTGTGATATACACTTTGAAAATTTCAGGCTATAAAGATGAATGAAACACAATCTTTGGTGAAGTTTTAATGTATTTGTAGACTATGAAACAACTACAAAATAATAATACCCTCTATATCAAATAACAACTAATGTACATTATTCTTTCCAGATTGAAAAATTTATAAAAGGACTTAGAGTATACACTGTTTTGGATTTTTCACTTAAATTGTATTTTTTGAGATATACACATTTTATCAATGTAGTAAAATTTCACAGCATATAACATTTTAGTATATGAATGCATTTTAGTTTTTTTGATTTATTATTAATGGATTTTTATTTCTGTCTTTGAGCTATCATGAAAAGTACTGTAAGAGCACAGTTACATATGCCTTTCATACCACATGACTGTTTTTATCTGTTCTACAACAGCACTGATTTTCTGGGTCACAGCATAATGTTGTAGATAGCATTTTTAGCCACAACTCTTTATCCATGGTTTATGTTGTTATTTGTCCCCATCCCTACACATGGGTATAGAGATGTTCACTAAACAATTAAAAAAAAAAGATGACATAAAAATAGAAGGGATGCTGTCAGAAAAGAGAAGGTAATCATTGTGAGGGAAGCAGAAAGAACAAGAGTGATAATAGGAGTGGATATGGTCAAAGTATATTATAGTAAAAATATTTTTAAAGAAATCTTAGTAGAATTCTATACAGAAAGAGAAAATGAAAATTTACAGTTACTATGGAACCACTAAAGACTCAGAATAGCCAGAGCAATTCTGGCTGGAAAATAAAAACAAAGTCAGAACCACCATATTTCTTGACTTAAAATTATATTACAAAGCAATAGTCATGAAAGTTGTAAGATGTAAAACCAGAGTATAGATACCCTTAAACTCATGTGGGCAACTCATCTGTGACAAAAATACCAAGGGGAAAGGACAGTCTCTTTAATCAACAGTGCTGGAGAAATGGAGCTTCCACATGCTAAAGAAAGAGACTGCATCCTTATCTCACACCGTATAGAAAAATGAACTCACAATGATTTAAGATCTATACATAGGATGTGAAACCATAAACACCCATTAAAAAGGTGAAATGACCCTGATTTGTAAGATATTACACAAAATAAATCCTCTCACTACAAAAGCAAAACTAACAAACAGTAATGCATCAAGCTGTAAAGTTTCTGCAGAGAAAAGGAATAATTAAAATACAACAGCAATCTATGGATTAGAAAAAAATTGTAAACTATGTATTTAATAAAATGCTAATATCCAAAATAATAACTCCCAGAGCTAAATAGTAGAAAAAGAAATATCTGACAAAAAAACAGACAAAAGATGTGAACAGATAATTTTTCCAAAGAAGACTTAAAATAGCCAGTAGGTATGGAAAAGGTGCTAGAAATCACCAGGAAAAATACAATGAAGACTAGAATGAGTTATCACCTCATATCAGCTGGGATGAGTATTATCAAAAAAACAAGAAATGTCAGGTATTTGTGAGGCAGGAGAGAAAAAGGAAACTCTTTTACATTTATCATGGAAATGTATGTTGATACAGTCATTGAGGAATACAGTATGGAGGTTCCTAAAGAACTTAAAAATAAAATTTGCATAAGACCCAGAAATTCCTCTTCTAGGTATATATTCAAAATCAATGAAATCACGGCTTCCAAAAGATATATACACTTTCATGTTGATTTCAGATTTTGCCAAAATCTCCAACATATAGAAACAACCAGAGACCCTTGATGAACAAATGGACAAATACACTGTAATAAGTCAGCATCTTAGCACATTCAGAATGTAATAGTTGTATATTTGAAATAATATGTCATTATAAATGTCAACATCAGGTTAGGCTTGAATTTGTTAAATTGGGAAGGTAACAGATTTTCAGAACGTATGTGTGACTTGAAAATATCTATTGCTTTTGTATTGCAAGAGTCTGTAAAAGGTTCAGAACATGCTTCGCTCACAAAAAAGACAACCGGATGTTTCTTGTTTTCCTTGTTTTATTTAGTTTTTCTTTGATCACAAAATTACACGCAGAAAAGATTTGTCAGGGACTTATGCCCCAAATTGCTTAGAAGTAGAAAGTGGAAGGAAGACCCAGGAAAGAGCAGCGCAGGTCGGAAGTGATGGCGGACTTGCAGCAGCGCACAGCTGAGGTGCTCTCCAGACTTAGGGGAAGGGAAGCGTGAATCCCACTAATGGCTCAGTGGCGATCTTTAGAGGAAAGGACATCAAATTGGCTTTGAGCATTAATTACTATTTAAAAATGGATAAGCTGTACAAAAAAATTGACATGCTACACAAAAGTATAGAATTCAAAGTGGATTAAGGTCAACAGAGTTTTATTAGGCAGAAAGAGCAGTAATTTAAGTGGAGTGTAAACATAATGGTTTCATGGTATTGACCAAAGTTTGGGAGCAGTCGGGCACTCAGTACAATGGGAGAGTTATCATGAAGTGCCTCTTGGGATATTCTGATATGAGCTGTCCATGAACAGAAATGGGAGAAACCCTCAATCTACTGGAGATGGGGATTCAGGATAAAGTGGAGTTAGAGAAAAGCTAAGAGAGGTAAAAATGGAGAATGGGATGAAAATTTGAGAAGAGAAGATGAAATACAGGGAACTTACCCGTGCTTCCTAAACCATAACACAAGGACTATCAGAAGCACCAGGGATACTATCGCTGCCAAAAGCATGAAGTTCATGGAAAGGCGGTATCCTGTGGTATCAGAGGCACACAGACATTTAAAACCCACTGCTGGTTCTTTTGCATCCACCGATTTTCTTACTTAACATGTACATTGAACATGAGTGATCATAATTTGTTTTAGTCACTTTATTTCCATTCCTACAAAAGCCAGATGCCTCACCTTCCTCAAAATATCTTGGATCTGTGTCCCTCAGGTCTGACTTCTCCCTTCTTGGAATTACCTGTGTTTGTTCTTTCCTCACATCCTTAACCAAGATCTGGAATTCCCAAACTTTTCTCTGTCCTAACCAAGGTTCAAGGGCCACCCATTCTCACCTCCAACCCCCAGTCTCACCCCAGTAGAGGACGATGTCCTGGTCTCCCAGACTGCTGTGCCTCACTCTACAAGACAGTAGAGCTGCCTCTTCAGCCGCCACATCCAGGGTCACCTGAAGATTCCATGTCCCATCAGCATTGGGAAGAATATCTTCTTGTTTAGTGCCCTGTTGTTCCTGTTCACCTTGCATCCACATCACCCAGACAGTCTTTGGGTAGAAACCACAGACATGACACACCAGTATCTTTCGGCCAGACCCAGGACTGGGCCTACTGGACAGCCAGGCCTCTGGCCTCACTGCAGAGAGCACAAAAGACACTAGACGTGACCACTGAACACACAACTAGAGACATACTAATCCACATAAATAATTACCTCCATTTATTCCTCAAGAAAACTATCACCCAGAAACCACTCTCCCCTTTGTCCTACTTTCAAGAGGTAGCAGGAAAGGGGAAGACTTGAACATCCTAGCAGTGGCAGAACTGACCTTGTCTCTGAAGGTTCATTTTTCCTGCATCCAGGAGACCGAAGAGAAATCGGGAGCAGGTGTTACTGGTGAGGTTGAATACTGTTTCCTTGATACCTTCATATTGATTGATTAGATTACACACCTTCTGGGCCCGACTCCCACCCTCTGGAGAGGGCACCCATGATGAGTTTTGGAAACTCAGGAAATCTGATCCTTCAAAAGCTGCCAAAAAGAAGCCTTTTGGTCTCTCTCCAGAGTGTAGCTCACAGCCTGCTCTAGCCTGTATTTCAAATGGATCTAGGGGAATGAGAAATGAGAAAAATAGTGCTAGTGAAGAAAGTAAGAGCTATGATATGAGAATGTAAGGGACTGATCAGGAAGCAGGGTAAAATGAAAGTTTATACAGATGTGAGCATGAGCCAAAGACGTTTACAATCAGGAACACAGGAAAGCAAAAATTGCTGGGCATAAGGAAATGTGCAATTAGAGATATACTTTGAATTATCAGGAGATTGACCTAAGAAAGTTTTAAGGAAATGACTGGTGAGCCACATAACACAGAGTAAGGTGAGGGGGAAACTTTTGTAAGGGAGGTGGAAGTACAGTTTGTAATGTATGAAGGAGTAATAAGATGTGTTAAACTGTAAATGTAGATCTTTGCAGAAATTGAATAAGGGAAGTAATCACATTTGAAGGAATTCAAGCACAGCATAGACAAACTGCATGCCTCTGGATTGTGGGAGATCACAGGGGAAATAACAAAGCACAAGAAAAGTAAATTCCAGAAGTAGCAAAAGCCTAGGAAATTTGTAGGAATGTCTAGAATAATCCCCTATAAGATTTGTGCATAAAGGCTTTACGGTGCAAAGGAATGTGGGAAATAGCCCCCAAACAAGTAAAGACTATTTCTCAGAAATAGAAGAACCCTCAAGAATTCCCTGCATTAGTTGAATAAACCTACATTCAAACTGCAATAGATTGACATAGTTTTGAATCTCCTTAGTTAATCCAATGAAGTATTCACGGAATAGTAGCTCCAAGTCCATCAACTCCTCATTGCTGAAGTTGCCCTTGGACCAAGTGTGTAGGAAAATTACTGTGCCCGATTCACTGTCCCAGCCATGAGTCTGCAGACTATCAAGCCAACCAGAGCCCCGATTTTTTGTCCATGATTTGTTGGCAAAGGATGAGATCTGGATAAGGTAGAATGAGACGTGTCCCTGGACCTCTGTGGGTAGAAGAGAGTTAATGAGTATAAGAAAAATGGGAGAAGCAGGCAAGACAGAAAGAATATGAAAAGTGGACCAGTTACCAGTGAGAGAGCATAATGCCCAGCTTAGCTATGACATTTTGCTTACAGAGGGCCCAGTGTTCTCTCCTCATCCTTTAAAAGAATAGACTGCACCTGGCAACAGGGTGCTCAGATTGTAAATATTCCCGTATTCTCAGTGATCTGTTTTGGGATGGGCTGCAGCACTCCATCCGGGCCCACACTACTGGACAGCTGAGACAAAGGTTCTTACCTTCTGCATTGTCACTGCCTGGGAGGAGACCAGCCAGCAGTGACAGGTGTAGAAGCAGCATGTCATCTGCACATGTGTTTTTCTTATTTCCTTTCTTCAGCCAGGCTGATCTTTGATGTCTAATCTCAACAAGGCTTCCCTCTCCATAGCTCTATTCTGACTTCCTTATTCTGCTGAGAGTCTCCTCCACCAGCCACGGATGGCAATGAAGAAAATCAGCAGCTCCCTTCATGCTTGGGCCTCCTACTCAGTCTCTCATTTCCCCTCCGGTTATGCACTAAAGTTTTTCTATCCTCAGTGGATTCCAGCTGCTCTCCCTCTCACTAAGCTCCATCCTCTCTACTTCCTTTCCTTCGCTGTTGGGGATGAAGTAACGTGATATTGTAAGGTCATTTCACCTCTGTGGGCTTTCTTGGTGTCTTACCTACAAAATGAAAGGGAGAAAAGTCCTAGTTATCCTAATTCTTGCTTGCTTTAACAAATTCCAGTTCTTCCAGTGTTCCTACTTAGCTATGACTCTAAGCTTTATGGTATTCCTTCTTTTAAACCCTCCATTCTTCCTGTTTCAAATGTTCTTTCCCATTTCACCTCTTATTCCTTCACTTCTGTCATTTCTTGCTTCTCACTGGTGCTTTAAAAATTGGCAGATTTGCTTTTCCTCCTTGACTTCCCTTGCATTCTCCATTGTTCCTTACAGATTAAATTGCAGCCATTCAGAGTGGAGAGTGAGGCAGAAGGAAAGGGCTGGAGAAAGCAGGGCTGGTCTCTCTGCTTTGGAGCTTGCTTTCTAGGCTTTATCTGAGGCATAAGATAACCAAGGAAACCGCTGTTAAAAATGGAAGGCCTGCTGTGGAGCCCCCTTTTGGGGACTAGATCCATCTTCTGAGTTAAACATTAGTCCTTAAGTGGGATGCCCAGATCTAACTACAATGGGAAAAGACAGCCACTGATGACCAACATCTGAAAATGTAATTTTAAAAATGCTATCAAGAGAAGAATAAAATATTTAGGAATAGATCTAACAAGGAAGGTAAAGTTATGTATATAAAAATCTATAAAATACTGATAAAACAAAAAGAAACATATATTATGTTCAGAAATTGGGACAATTAATCTTATCAAATGTCTACCTAAAGTGATCTACAGATTCAACTAAATTCCTACCATAACTTCAATAGCATTTTTTTTTAGAAAGAGAAAAAAAACTCCATCTTCTTTGAAACCACAACATATTCCCAACAGCTAAGCTGACCTGAACAAGAAAAACAAAGCTGGAAAAACCATGCTTCAAAAGCGCAGACACATAGAGCACTGCAACAGAAAGAAGGAAGCCAGTAAATAAACCCCAACACGTATCATCGGCTCCTCTGGGACAAGACTGCCACAAAGACACAATGGCAAAAGGACAGTGTATTTAACCTACCATGCTGAGGAGACTGGGTCTCAACAAGAAAAAGAGTAAACCGACACTTTACTATCACATCAAGCACACAGAAATAGCAGTCCAAAATTTATTGAAAGTTTCAATGTAAAACCTAAAAATGTAAAACTCTTGGAGGAAAACACAGATAAAACTCCATAACAGTAGCCTTGGCAATGGAGGTTTGGATATGACGTGAAAAGCACTAGCAACAAATGCAAAATTTGGGACCACTGCAATAAAGTTTCGGCACAGCAGACAGTTAACAAAATTATGTTGCAATCATTAAGATCTAAGTGGTATATTCAGTGATAAAATTTAACTTTTTCTTTCAAACAACTGCTATTTTATGTTGTCCTTAAACTGGAAAAGAGCATTATCAAATAAAAGCAGGATTAGTGAACATTGCCATTTCTTTCCTGATGTCAATGTGAAAATTCCTCAGGTGTCTTCAGAAGTATATTTATTGTAAATTTTAAAAGATACTCTGTTAAATTTTAAAGTTCCTACTAGTTTATTTTTATGTTTTATTCCAATTATGTTTGCACATTAAGTAGTGCAGAATTTTTTTTGGAAGCATCAAGGCAATCCTATTCTATAAATGTATGTATAGAATTTATGATCTGCATATATCCATTGTCTGTCCTATTTATTCAATTTCCCAGAAACAATAATTTTGAAATATAGAATATGTTAAGCCAGACTATGGTTGGACAAGCCCCACATACTGCATTCCTTCTGGCCTCTTTAATCTACAAAGCCCTTCCTAAAGAGATGATGGTTTCTGCCCGATCTTTATCAAATTCTGTGTCACCTTGGAGCTCTGTTTGGAGGCAAAAGGAACACCGAAGTGTACTCTCTGAGCCAAGCACTCTCTCTGTGAGCCTGTGCACTTGCCTGAAGCACACTTTATTGTCTTTACTTTCTCAATTTACTTATTTCTCAGGTTTAAATGTAAATATTACTCTTTACTCTTGGCGATTCCTTTTTCTGTTCAAAAGCTTTTTGATAAGGTGATACCCCAGTTGTTGATTCTTTGGAATATTCCCATATGATTGGGGTTTTTTTCATAAAGTCTGCCTACAACTAAGACCTCAAGAATTATATCTATTACCTCTTCTAGTGGATATAGTGTTTCTGTTTTAATATTTATATCTTTGATCCATTTTTTTTAGTTTAGTGCATGGTTAGAAATATGGGTTTAGTTTTAGTCTTCAGCATGTGGAAATCCAGTTTTTGCAGCACCATTTATTACAGAGGCTATCTTCCTTCCTTGCCAGTATCTTACTGAGGATTTTAACATCTATGCTCAGTAGGGAGACTGGCTTGTGGTTTTGCTTTTTGGTTGTATCCTTTTCTGGTTTTGGCATCAGGGTAATATTTACTGTTCCTCAGAAAAAGGATTAATATTTATAATATGCAAACAAATTAAAAAATCAGACCCCCAAATTTAAAGACTCAATCCAAAAATGGGCATCTCTGATGCATATACACTTCTCAGAGGAAGAGAAAGAGCAAATAAATATATGAAAAAATGTTTAACATCACTGGTCACTCAAAGGATGAAAATTTAAATAACAGTGAGATTCCATCTCACTCCAGAAAGAATGGCTGTTATCAAGAAATCAACCAATACCAAATGCTGGTGGGGTTGTGGGGAGAACGGAACCCTTCTCCACTGTTGGTGGGAGTGCAGACTGGTGCAACCGCTGTGAAAATCAGTGTGGAGATTCCTCAAGAGACTAAAACTAGAGGTCCCACGGCCAGGGATTTAGCTCAGTAGTTCTACTGCCTATCTCACAAGTGCAAGGACCCAAGTTTGATCCCTGGTACCCAAAACAAACAAACAAACTAGAGGTCCCATTTGATCCAGTTATACCTATTCTTGGTGTCTTCCCAAAATAATGACAAGCCCCATACCATAGCAATATGTGCACTCCCATGTTTATAGCCCAGTGTACAATAGCTAAGTCTTGTGAACAGCTCAAAGACCATCAACCAATGGATGAATGGGTAAAGAAAATGTGGGTTCTTTTAATATAATGGATAATACTCAGACATAAAAAAGGATAAACTTGGGACATTTCTAGGTAAATAGATGCATTTATGGTAATGAGTCCTTACTCTTAAGTGAAAAAAATCCGACACACTTGTAAATAGCACATTGTTTCTCTGGTGTGAGAAAATGCAAGTATAAATACAGATCAAAATGTACAGTAGGTATTGTGAAATAGGAAGAAAATGTTCAGTCAGGAAGGAGGGAGGGTGAAAGGAAGGTAGGGAAAAGAACAAAATGAGAAGAGATGGATAAAATGAAAACAAAGCTTTTGTAAATAAGGAGGGGAAGAGAAATTGGAGGGAGAGGAGGGGAATGAGAAAAAAAGAAGAATCAAAATATATCATGTACAGGTACAAATTCTCTACGATGAATGTGATCATTATGCATACCTAAATTTTACCAATCAATTTAAATTTGAAAGAGAATATAATTATCTAAAAATGAATAAATTTACACATTACTTACTCTAGGGAACCTTTCTTGATTTCTATAAGATTCACTTAGGTCTTTATCCTACATGCAGATAATATGTCTGATGAACAATACTGAATTGTAATTGCGTCTTTACTTGTCTGGGATACATTTCACTTCTCTGACTCATTTTCACCAACATGCCAGGTAACCAACAGACTCTAAATAACTTCAAACAAATGTGTGAATGTAGAAAACACATTTTAGATTAGAATATACAATGTTTTACAGCATGGTACTGGCAAGTAAACAGATCTGAGGATCAATGGAATAGATTAGAAGATGCAGAAATAACACCAGATATATTCAGTTACCTCATCCTTAGCAAAGGAGCCAACCATCCTCACTGGAGGAAAGACAGCCTCTTTAATAAATGGCGTTGGAAAAACTGGCTTTCTACTTGCCAAAGATTAAAACTAGATCCCTATCTTCCACCACGCACTAAACTAAAATCCAAGTGGGTTAAATATCTAAATATCAAAACAGAAACACTAAACTTACTGGAAAGTAAATTAGGTAGAATTCTCAAAGACATTGTCATAGGAAAAGACTTTATGAACAAATTTTCAGCAGCACGAGAACTTCCATAGAGAATCAACAACTGGGATCTCACTGTATTACATAGTTTTTGCAGTGCAAGAGAAATCACCAATAGAGCCAAGAGACAACTTACAATATGGGAAAAAATTTTACCAGCTACTCCTCAGATAAAGAACTACTATCTATAATATATAAAGAACTAAAAAAAAACCAGACCCCCCAAATACAAAGACCCAATTAAAAAATGGGCATCTGAAAAGAACAGACATTTCTCAGACAAAGAAGTAAAAGCAGCAAATAAATATATGAAAAAATATTCACCATCACTGGTCATTCAAGAGATGCAGATGAAAACAACACTGAGATTCCAACTTACCATAGAAAGAATGGCTGCTATCAAGAAATAAACCAATAACAAGGCTGACAGGGCTGAGGAGAGAAAGGAATCCTTTTCTATTGCTGGTTGGAGTGAAGACTGGTACAACAACTGTGGAAATCAATATGGAGATACCTCAAAGAACTAGGGCTAGAGGTTCCATTTGACCGAGCTATCTCTCTGCTGGGTATCTCTCTAAAAGAATTAAAATAATCATACCACAGTGATATATTCACACCCATGTTTATAGTGGCACAGTTCATAATAGCTAAAACTTGGAAACAATCCAAATGCCCATCATCTGGAGACTGGATAAAGACGATATGGTTTTTCTATAAAATGGAATACTACTCAGCCATAAAGAACGAGAAACTAGAGACATTTATAGCTAAATGGATGCACATTGAGGCCATACTCTTAAGTGAAATAAATAGGACACACTTGAGTAAATGCCGAATAGTTTCTCTGGTGTGAAAAACTAAAAGTGTAAATAAGGTTCAAATGGTATAATTGGGTATGTGAAATAGGAAGAAAAGGGCTAAAGGGGAAGTGGAAAGATGAGGGGCAAGGAAATAAGGGAAAAGAAAAAATGTGAAGATAGGAAAAAAAGGAAACAAAGTCTTTGTAAATAGGGAAGGGTGAAGAGGGTGAAGGGAGGGCTGGGGTATGGGGAAGAAACAAGAACCAAGACACATCATACAAAGGTACAAGATCCCAATGATAAATGCAACTGCATTGTTTGCTTTAAAAGTAGCAATACAATTAATGAAAAAAGAATATACAATGTTTTAAAACAATATTTACTTAAATCAATATTAAAGGAATCACTGGAAATTCAGAAGAAAAAGTCCATGCTATTTGTTATCATTTATAACTACCAAGAGGAAACAATTTTTACTGTCATTTGTTAATTTAAAAGGTTTCGAAAGCCTGTTATGTGCCAGGTATAGTCCTTTGTTGGTATGAGTATTCCCACTAAATTCTTCCCAAAGTGCAAATTCAATCCACTCCATGTCAGTCTCTGGAAAGAAAGCTAAGCTACCTAGGGAGTCGGGCCCGGTACAGCGTTATGAAGTCACTGGTCTGCAGGGCTCTGAGAAGCATCTGAACCCCATGTAAATCAGAGGGGAGCGGATTTTCAAAGGACATGTTTGTGTTGCATAGATGGACATGGTGAAATGTGTTCTAGGAATCCTGAGGCCACAGAGATTGAAGTTGAATGTCACCTCTCACTCTCTTCAGCGAGTGGGAGGGAATCCAATGAGCAATCCTCTCACCAGTGGGTGCTATGAATTTAATCTGGGCTAATAAAGCTCAAATCCTGAATTTACAAAATATCTAATGTGTGTGTGTGTGTGTGTGTGTGTGTGTGTGTGTATTTGCTCTCATTCAATCACTTTAGAACAGAAATATTCTGAAGTTCTTGTGCACACGGTATTTTAGTCAAGTAGTGTTAAATTAGCAACCTAACTTTATCCTAGGGACACTCATCAAATCACACAGTTCAGTCTGTAAAAAACTGAACTACAAATGCTGAAAAAAAAAATCGCTGCTGGTACTCGATAAAACAAATTCAACTAATCTTTTCATCACTCAGCTCTTTCTCACTTTTAGGGGATTCTCCCTATCCTACCAATTCTTATTGGATTGTATTTCTTCTTTTTATATCCTACATTCACCTTTATTTTATTAATTTTTGGTTCTTTATTTCTTCTCTTTATATTTTGCATTATGATCTTTTTAGTCTCTCAATGTAATATATAAAGCAACAATTTTCTTAATATTTATCACATGCATATTATGAAATTTAAAACAATGCAATAGGAACGCTAAGGCACTTACTTATTTAAGGCTTACAACAACTCTATTCTCATCATATCCAGTTCATACAGTATATGTCACTGGTTCACGGGTACACAGCAAGTATGTGAGAGGCCTTAACCATTACGTCCAGGCTATATGTCTCCCAAGGAGGTTATTAAACTGCATGATGCCAAGTGAAAGGATGTGAAACGGAAATGTGTGTTAGTACCATATCATTCAGTTATTTTATCAAAATAAATCTTAGCCAAAGCCACAGTGTACTCAGGCAAGTAGACAGGACACACCTGTTTAGGTAACTAATCACTTCTTACACTGAGTTATGCAGGGAGGGCAGGACCTCATTCTCACTGAACTTACTAAGGTATTCCCTGTAGTGAGCTGCACATAGTGGCATATGCATAAGGAGTTCAGGGTTCCTGACTGTCCAATTTACTTTCACACTGTATCCAAGAAGAAGCCCAATGCTAGGTTATAGAAGAAAGGAAAATGAAAGGAAAGAGAAATGGAACTAATTTTTAAAGTCTTCTGTCAGACAAACACAGAATTGCTTTACACATACTAACCTATTTTGTTCTAACAGTTTATATATACTAGTTCTAATATTAGTTTACATGTACTAATCTATTTACCTTTTGAGGAGGTATTAAAAGTTCCATGTTTCATAGAATTGACTGCCAATAAGAGTTCTTAAACCTGGGCAGAAGTTGTTAGATGGACTATGATGTGGATCAAGATTCAAACTCTTGCTTTTGTGCCTCTAAAATCAGTATTAAGGTTTTCAGCATTTTTAGAACTTTTCTTTCTCACTTGATTTCATCACAACTGGATTTGTATTCTTTTTTCTACTGAAAATAATTATTTATAACTAATTATTCAACTGACTTATTGCAACTATTACTTTAAAATCTCCAAAACATACAGGATATTCAGAAACGTCAACATTTCTCACAGTTTCAGCTTAGGAGAGGTAGCAGCAGTCTGGGGATTGTGAAACAGATACTTCAACCTATGTGGTGCTGATTCTAAAAGACTGATGTGAACATATACTCCTAAGTGAAATAAATAAGTCCCACATGTGTAAATACCAAATAGTTTCCCTGGTGTAAATAATCTGCAACAATGCATAAGATTCTAATAAGATTACTGACATTTAGAAATGGGAAGAAAGGAGCTAAAGGTGTAGGGAAGGTGGGATGGGTAGGGGAAGAGTAAAAAGGGAAAAGAAAAAAATGTGAGAGAATGAAAAGATGAAAATAAAGTGTTTGTAGATGGGGAGGGGAGGAGGGGGTGATGGGAGGGCAGAGGTAAGGGGAAAAAATGAGAATCAAGACCTGTCATGTAGAGGTACATGATCCCAACAATGAATGTAACTGTACTGTATCCCTAAAATGTACCAATAAACTCAGTTAAAGCTGAAAAAAAAAAAGACTGATGTATTCAAGGCATGCAAATAGCATGGTGTCAGTTTGTGAAAGTTTTCATGTTCATGTGAGGTTCTGGAGACCACTTGGTTTAATGTTTACACCAGATATGGGCTAATTATGAAAACAAATTTTTAGTCCAAGAAAAGTTGCCTTAGTCCTTATTTCTTTCTTTGTCAAGAAATCCTAGGAAAAAGGGGCAGATATGTTTCTGGGATGAAAGTGAGTACACATTCCTGATTGTTGGCTCGCTCATACGGTTTTGGGAAATGAATATCTACTCAGAACCTTTCTCAGTGCCATCTTTACTTCTTTATTTCTCAGAGTATAGACAAGGGGGTTGAGAAGTGGAGTAATCACTGTATAAAGTCACTGCTACAAGCAGATCCTTGTCTGAGGAGTGCAGGGATGTGGGCCTCAAGTAGATAGAGGAAGCACAGCCACAGTGGACAATAACTACTGTGAGATGGGAGGCACAGGTGGCAAAGGCTTTGTGCTGTCCCTCTACTGAGGAGATCTTGAGGATGGTGGAAACAATGAAGACATAGGAAATGAAGATCAGCGCAAAGGGAACCAACAATACCAGAATGCTGAGGAAGAAGATGACCATTTCCTTCAAGTTGGTGTCTGTGCAGCCCAGTTTTATGACCGGGGAAATGTCACAGAAGAAGTGGTTGACCCGATTGGAGGCACAGAATGGCACTGTAAACACCAGGATGTTGACAGCCACAGAGATCAGGAAACCACAAAAGCTGGAGGCTAGAACCAGCTGCAGGCAGGCAGCTCGACTGACAATGAGGGTGTAGTTGAGAGGGTTGCAGATGGCAACGTAGCGATCATAGCCCATCACAGCAATGAGAAAACAGTTGGTACAAGCTAAGCCCACAAAAAAATAGAGCTGGGCAGCACATCCAGAGAAAGAGATACTTGGAACTGTGACCAGCAAGTTGGTTAGCATTTTAGGCACGATGTCCAATGTATAGCAAGTTTCAGAGCAGGAAAGGACAAAGAGAAAGAAGTACATAGGGGTGTGTAAATCCCTGTCCAGGCGAATGACTGTCATGATGGTAGCATTGGCCAACAGAGTGGTCAGGTAGACGAGTAAGAAGGTAATGAAGAGAAGGATCTGCAGGTCCCCCAGGTTTGAGAAGCCCACCAGGATGAACTCAGTGATAGCACTTCGGTTTTGTCTCTTCATCAGTCAATAGCAGACAGACTCAGACAACCTGAAACTGAGATCAGAGATAATTGGACAAAAGTGAAATGCTCTCAAAGAAACCAGATCCATTTCTATACAAAGGTGCTAAGAGTGGTCTGAAATAATGAGTGATGAATATGTTAATCACACAGGGAATAGAAGAGAGTCAGGAGACATAAGTAGTGACACATATATTTCAATTCACAAATATCTGAGGAGATTTATTTTTATGCTGTTTCTGTTCTTTGAATTCATTGATGCACAGTAAGTTCACACTGTGTTAAATCAAAAAGTAATTTAGAGCTCATTTCATCTAATTTAGTCATTTTATGGAAGAGGAAACCAAAGCTTAGATTTTTCTTAGATTTTTCTAAGCCTACTTGAACATGATGGTTCCTACCTCCAAAGCCATCCTTTGAAAATCTGACACAGCTACATGGAAATCTGGAATTAAGAATTTGACGGAAGTTTCAATTGCCCTCAAATAATTATGAGGCATGGACCACAGCCTCTACTCCACCATCCTCACGTGACTCTCCATTTTCTCCATAATGTTCTGTGAGCAGTACTCACCATTATTTGTGGGGGGATCTATCATTTGATCACATGATGACTAAATCATAAGCTTTGGAAAATTTTTATATTGAAAAAAGATTAAGAATCTTCGAACTAAATGTGTACCTAATTCTAGGAACTTTTTTTTTATGACAAGCAATTTAGGCTATAGGATATCCAACCTCTGTATATCTACTCACAAAACAGGCTGGGCTGCTCTCTTGCTAGATAGCTTTCTGGTCTAGAACTTATGCTGAGAGAAACTCTGCTTCCTTGAAATATTTCCTCATTGTCCCAGACTTCTATGCTGCAGATACAAGAAGTTTAATTCCTTTTTCAACTTATACTCTTTTAGTTTTGGGGATAAAATGATCGTATGTCCCTTGTGGATCTTATTTTCCTCTTAACAATCTTAGTTTACTGAGTTATTATCCAGGGCATTGTTTCTGGAAATTTTTTCATGCTAAGCAATATTTTAGGCACTTTAGTCCTCCGCATTAGTTCGTTCATCTTCCCCTCAGCTGTATAGAAGCTATTATTCATAAGTAACTACTGTCACTCTATTTCTATACCAAACATTATATTCTATTGTTCTTTATCCTGACAGTGGATATTTATCTCTTGTATGAAACCTTTGCTTTCTAGTTACCTCTTCAGGTGCCTCCCCAACACTTCTAAATGGCTGAATACTGTTCCCATTTACTTCTTATCATTTGGGTCTGAGATCATTTGTGGAAATGACAGGATAGTAAGGCTGGGAAGGATGCAGGCTTTGGAGTCAGTCTGTGTAGTTTGGGCTGTGGCTTTACCACTTTATGATCTCAGGAATTGCATTTGTGCATTATGGCTTTATCTCTGAAATGGCATCGATATTAGCATGAATAAAGAGGGTTTTGTGAGTACCAAACACACAAACAAAGTCAGTATTTCATAATAGTTTAACAGGTAGTACCTAGTTGAAACTTCCCATGCTACAGATGAGAAACTGAAGCCCAGGGAAGTAAAACCTAACTATCTAGACTGCTTGGCGATTTAACATCAGAAGTGACTTTGTATCCCCCAAATCCTAAATGCCTCCGTACAGAGCTTGGTCTTCTGAATTACCTGGGTCCTATTTTTAACATTTCCTTTGCAAATTGTGGCTCTATACATAACAGTAAGGTGGAGATAGATCCACAATTCCTTATGCCACGTGATCCACTGCAGACTTTCTGCCCCAACCTTCCATCTTCCACCTGTAATGGGTCATACATTTTTGTTTTTGCCAAGGTAAAAATCTAGAATGTTATTCAAGCAGTGCCTTCCTATTTCCTAGTTTAGGACTATTTTAGAAAAAAATGCTTGTTTTACTTTCTTTTAACCCTTTAACTTCCCTCTCTCTCTCCCACATTCACATCACAGTGCTTTGTTGTTTGCCCTCTACATATGCTCTCCGTCCTTGTCTTTCACCTTAGATCCTGATGCTAAGACCTATTTATGTTAGAGAGGATTATAGGATACATTGCTCCTAAGAAAACATGGTCCTATAATTAGTAGGAAAGCAAACACTTACAAGTACTTTGAGCTCAAACCCAGCTTCCTTTTTGCCGTGTTTCATCAAAGTTTAGAGAGGAAAGAGAAATGGGCAAAAGTTGGAAGAAAATAAAACAGCATTTTTTTCTCTGATCTTCCTTGGGAAAATCCAGAGACCTTGAGACTTTCAAGATGAAAGGTAGTTTTGCCTGGTTGCTACCCTGGAACTAAGTGGACATCTCTGATCTTAGCACCTCTGGGTCTGTGATGGCAGATATTCCAGCAAAGTCTCAGGGCCTTATAATTGTTGGTGTACCCAGGGGACTGAGGCTTTGGAAAGATGTTCTTGTTTATATTCTAGGCTTATTGAAATATGCACATTTAGCCCCAAAGAAAGTGAAAAAGTAGATAAATTATCTAATTTTGTGAACTGTGTAGAAGACAGCATTGAATGAACTGAAATTATAATTCCTTTAGTAAACTACCACTCTCTCAATCATTAGCTTTGTAGATTTTAAGTATAGAATAACAGTTTCAAGGGATTAAATGACAAACTTGACAGTTATCATGTATTGTCCTCTTCTTCCTTAAAATTTGTTAGTTGAAATAATCAATTTTTTTCTATATCTCTCTTGCTCTACATATATGTTATGTATGCATTCTACGAAGACGGAGGCACTAATGTTTTCGGTATCCCCTTGTTGGATTAATCTCTTCAAATACAAGGGGTGGTAAGTATATATTATGAATGTTTAAATTTTTAAAAATCAATATTGGAAAAGACACATTGTTATTAATTCTCCTTAAAATAGTCTTCCTGAGGACACACTGGTCCCATCATTGTTGCTTTTTTTTCCCCCCGTTTTTATTAGTACATGTCTGCGGTGCACAATGATTACATTTCTTGGGGAGGTGGGATGTGTACATAACACATCTTAATTCTTTTTTCATCCCCTTCCCATCCTCTTGGCCTCCCTACCTTCTGCAAAAGATCTATCTCCCTTTTTTGTACTATGTATTTCTTAGTTTGCTCTTTATTTAAACTTTGGGTTTTTCATAAAAGAGAAACCATACAATATTTAAACCTGTGTATCTTAATGTTAAGGTCTCACGGAGCATCCGCTTTCCTTCAAATATCTCAAGTGCATACTTTTTCTATGGCAAAGTAGTACTTCATACTAATACATTTTCTTTATTCACATGATGGACATACGGCCACTTCCAAGATTTAGCTGCTGCAAGTTGTGGTGTGATGAACATAGGTGTGGATGTATCACTGGAACATGATATCCTCACCTGTGGTCCTTTTTAATGTTTTTAGTAGGTGTGACAAAAATTCAGTGACTGCTGCCACTGATGGAAAGGCAGAGTAATAAAAATATTATAGTGTCTCCTCATACACCTTTTTCACTAGAACTGGTACCTTATAAATTCTGCCTCTTCACAAAAGTCAAAATGACCATAAAAGGTAAACATTTTGAATCCATTCAGGGCAACACAGCTAACGATACTTACAAAAAAAGACTTCCAGAACTCCTTCAGAAAGTAGAAGAGAAAATATGATGAATGTGTTTAAAGCTAGAGGGAGTGTATTTTGAGGGATATTAATGGCAAGGTACCTTTCCTTGTAATTGAAAAACTTTAAACATTCACCCTGAATTACAATCACACCTTGTACATTCATCCATGCAGATATTCATATCGGTATCTCTTAATTCAGTAATAATCTAAATGCTCTGAATACCTACCATACTCCAGGCACACTGGTGTGTGTTTTGGCAGGAAAGGTAACACAGAGATGAGAACGGAACAGTGTATGTCAGTGGTGGTCTATGAACCATATGCATCTCAGCTTCTCAAAGCCCATGTGATGTACTTTGGGTTCTACCAAGGATTTTCTTAGAGACAGACCCTTGAGGTGAGGCCTGGAATATTTTGCAGTCAGTTTACATGATACATGTTTCTCTCAGCAAGTTTAGAACTACTGTTTTCGTTCTAAAAAGACCTTGATGTTTAGAGATGGATTTGGAGAAATAAATAGAGAATTACAATATCCAAAGAAGGCCAGGATGGGAATAAGGCGGAGTGCTGCAGAATTACTGAGAGATAGCACTGTTCTCCTATCCGCTATCAGTATTATGGGTCTCTGTTGGCGCTATGCTCATACATTCAGCAAATTGTCCCCCTGAGGGATTTAGGGCTTTTGTTTTAATAGAGGTGGGGGAAAATGTAGAGTTTTTGTTTTATAATTTTAATTCGGAGAAATACATAGTTCTTAACTGACATGTATGATACAGATGAAATAAAATACATTTTCGTGACATATTACAGTATGATCAACCCAGTACAATTTGATTTCCAAATAAGAGATATAAATTTAAGAGTAGGAGTTATTTAAATTGGTGGGCTATTTTAAAGTACAGAGGACTAAAGGACTATTAATAGCATGCCTTCCTTTCTACCTGTTTTTTTCGTGCTGTAACTTCTATAGTAGTACCAGCTTTTTGAACACCAATTAGATGGTCATCATGATTCACATGTTAGCTCATTTAATCTAAGTTAGGTCAGAATATATTGCTCTTATTTTAATAAAGAAATGCAGGGAGGGCACCGTGGTCCTCGAGCTGAGAAGAGTGAAATTAGAGGTTGAAGTACCTCAAATTATAATTTGTGACACAAAATAGCAGCGAGGGAGATTGACTTGAAATTGCACCAGAGACATTCATATCTTTACATTATGAGTTAAGTGCTAAGAAGTTTAAACACAGGACTTGAGAAAGAAGTACTAGGAGTCTCTTTGTGACACCAATTCCAAGAGCTCTGGTGGCCATGTTCGAGTTCTAATATTTGGCACAGTTAATAACGACCTCCAAAATACATACCTTAGTAATAAAGGTAAAGAAAAACTCAGTAAGGGCCACCCATTTTATTTA